CTCTGCATGGGTAGAGAAATTCAGTAACATATTTTAGTGCACCAAAATCACTCCAACTTACTCGGCAAGTATCAGTGGCTGAATAGTGCACGTCTAACTGTGCAGAACACAGCAGAGCACCTGAGAGAACAGTCAGGATTATTCTCGAGTATTGCATCTCGAAGAAGAAGTCTCCGATTGAAAGTTATATGCAACTGCTTGAAACAGTCTCCCTTTTATACTCATTTCTCCCGAGCCTCGCCAACACAATCCAACAAGCATGCACTATAAAAATTTACGGTTTAAGTAAACTTTCAAGTTGGGTGAAGGAAATGTAGTTTTGATAGGGGGACAGGGGGCATTTTGATAACACATTAATCCATTAACAGTTTGAGAGTGTGGTGAAAGTACACTGATAGTGTGGGAGGAGGACCTCCAGCACACTCACAAAGTAACAATAATTGTTTTTAACGGGAAGAGTTGTGATAATGATCTATAACATTAAACCTTGTCCTATCAGGGCTGTGGCTACAAATTATGTTTTTCCCCCTCTCACTATAAGTGGTGTTTGTGCCTGTGGGTGGAAAGGTCGGCATACCTCGGCCCTGCTTTTTTTGTTTTTTACAGCGACAGTCGGGCGGTAAGCGCACGTGCGCACATGCGTCACATAATAATGCATGCACATGCCGATTGCGTTAGGACACAAGCCGTGCCTATACAATACTTCTCGGTACTCGGTCTGTCTGTGTGTTTCGACATCTCACTTCTCGAGCGATTATTAAAGCTTAACGGTGCTCTAAGCACTACGAATACTAAATGAAAACCCTCTGCGAACTGCGCATGTGCGGTACTGGTAATGCAGGCTTGGCTACATACGCCGCGCTAGTAGCTCGCGGAGAGTCGAACACAGGCTAACTACAGTAGTAGATAGCATGCGGAAGGCCCTTCGTTGTGACTTCATGTGCCTTCAAGATACACAGAGCAAGCGGCCCCGGTGGAAGTAAGCCTGTGCTAATTAGCAATTGGCTTGTTCACTTGCTTTTCACGCCATAACTTTAGAACACTGTATTTACGAATTTTAAAATGAAGCCAGTGTATCGCCGAACCTGTTGGTGTCGCTTTTTGGCCGGTTTGTTGCGTGTGGTGGCAGAAAACGTGGTAACAGACACACACACAGACACGCAGACCAACAGCGCATGCGCGCCGATGGTTATTGAAAGGCGCAGCGAGCTATTATATTTCTGTATACTTTCGGGCTCGACTCCATGCTATTACTATTACGTCATCCGATTACGCATGCGTAACGGAGCGCCGACATGCGTGCGACGTTTACCGGGGTTCGTAGCTCCGAAGGCGTGGCTGCCAGCAATAGCTCATCACCCGCTAGATAACGCAGAATGTCTGGCCAGCCACTACTCGACAAGTCTTTCTCTATCCGTCAATGCAGCTCTACGTTTTATGGTGTTACGTATACACGTATACACAGTGTATATGTACGTATAACAATAATAATATCGCTTCTGCAGATCAATGGTTCTGAAGGTGCACTTCGCTCACTTCCAGTAATCCCCAAAACACACCCTCTGCCCTTACATATAGTCTGGTATATAGTATTAAAATTAGAGTTTTGTTGCTTCAAGGACACTAGCTAAATTTTAATACCTTGTGATTTAAAAACCTTACCCCGAGCCTACTCTCTGAGGTACGTAAATACCCTGTGGTTTCAGAATATGAAAGTGTACATTCTGCAAATTTGTCTTACGTTTCTCCTCCCATGCACTCGTTTTTAAATCCTTGTACTCTCAGTACTCTACATTTTGGTGGTAATGCTTAAAATTATAATCTTGTTGTTTTGTGATAATCACCCAGGCCATTAAACTTTGGCCTGAACCTACTATCATGACTGTGGTCTCCAGTGCAAATTGTTTTGACATGAAAGTGCACATGTAGCTTGTAAATACTATACACCCTGTGGTAGATAAGTGTATATACAAAGCAGACGTCCACTGGGAGTGCAAGAGGTGTATGTGAATACACTCACCTAGCTGGTACCACTGGCAGGTCAGTCTTCCGCTCCCCAAAATGTATGCTTGTGAGGCTAGTGCAAGAAGATTGTAGCTGGTCCACAGACCACTTTCCGGCTTGCGCATGCACGAGGGGAAGTTTTCTGTAATCAGCAATGTAATTGCGTGTGCCTTTTCCTCCCCCTCCCCCCTACAAGAGAGTTAGAAGATAAAAGGGGGGAAGTGTTTGATGACCTGGGATTATGTAGGTAGAGGGTTTTGCTAATCAGTCCCTCCCATCTATTTGAAGGAACTCAAGGCTGTCCCTCTTCCCTCTACGACATGCATAACATGTCTCTCTCTGTGTGCATGGTGAAATACATAAACCAAGGTGGTAAGCCTAAAGATGAGGTTAATGGGGTGTGATCTTATTATGCCTCGGTGCGCACAGCGAGCATAGGTTGTTTGCTTGTTTGAGTGTGTGTGTGTGTGTGTGTGTCCATACCTGTTCCGCCGGTGGAAATCAAATGCAAGTAAATGTTTATTTGGCTATAAAACCATGTTTTCTTGATTTGAAATTTGGCCGATTTGCAAAGTAGTGCTTTGTTCTCGAGCTATGACCAAATTTTGTGTACCTCGCAGCATAGATTATCTATGCTGAACGCCCTTGTGAGCGCGCCTACGACACCTCCGATTGAAAAGCTGCTAATAGTAGGCCGACTTACGACTTACAAACAACAGGCCAAGCTACAACACTAGCTCGAGCTAGCTAATTAGGGCCACGCCTATTTCTGATTGTGTGTACGTGCAATGTCTTTGCACATGCGTTTCAAGTCCAAAAACGAGGCTATACTCAAGCGCACCGAGGCATTGCACTAACACTAATCTCATGAGTTACAATCATTAATTTGAAGGACAGCTGGGAATATTAACCCTAACTGCACCATCATTACCTGGTGTACTGACACCCTTATGTACACATGACAGCACATTTGTATGCTCTCGTGTTTACACACACACACACACACACACACAAGAAGACCTGAAGCTCACATCTCTAACTTCTCTGATGTTTCCATGGAAACCATATCCAGTGAGTGAAGTCCCTTAGTGTTGCGTGAGTTAAATAACCAGCATCATGCTGCTCTACTTGCATGTATATACTTCTAAGAGATGGTTAATGCAGGGCCTGGGAGAGAGGGTCTGTATTCATGAAATATGCATCTCTCCCTACATTCACTAGTCCACACCTACGTATAACACAGTGTTGAACACAGGGTAGAGAAGTCATCTAGCTTCATAGAATGTACATGTGAATATATGTATAATATTATTACACATACAATCATGTATGCATGTGTACGTAGTAGCTATATTGTACATGTTTGGATAATGTATTATATTGTACTCAAGTGTATATGGTGAACTTATTAGCAAGACTCCAAACCCTCTACCTACATAATCTCAGGTCCTCAGACACTTCCCCCTTTTATATTCAAACATTTTTGTAGGGGGGAGGGGGAGGGGGAGAAGGCACACATAATTACATTGCTGATTACATAAAACTTCCCCTCGTGCATGCAAGCGGAAAGTGGTCTGTGGACCAGAGACTATTAGCTACAATCGTCTTGCACTAGCCACACAAGAAGACATTTTGAGGAGCGGAAGACCTTCCCCTCCCCAAAGAATTTAAACAGACTCTTATTTAATTTCTACAACCACAGGGTGTATAGTACAAGCTACATGTGCACTTTCATGTCAAAACAATTTGCACTGGAGACCACAGTCATGATAGTAGGTTCAGGCCAACGTTTAATGGCTTGGGTGATTATCACAAAACAACACTATTATAATTTTAAGCATTACTACAAAGTGTAGAGTACTGAGAGTACTATATATAAAAACTAGTGCATGGGAGGACAAACATAAGACAGATTTGCAGAATGTACACTTTCATATTCTGAAACCACAGGGTATCTGAGAGTAGGTCCAGGGTAAGGTTTAATTATAATCACAAGGTATTTAAAGTGCATATTATTTAGTGTCCTTTTTAAGCAATAAAATTCTAATTTTAACTGGAAGAGTTGTGATAATCATCGATAACATTAAACCTTGTCCTATCAGGGCTGTGACTTGGATTATACACATTCTACAACTATGTTTTTTCCCCTCTCACTATAAGTGGTGTTTGTGCATGTGCGTGGAAAGGTCGCCATTCCTCGGCCCTGCGTACTAATTTAGCGGTACCGCGCATGCGCAGTTCGCCGTGGGTTTGTAGCCCTTGAATCCGTTTATCGCGCGTTGTAGTAGAAAACCGAGGTAGCTAACCGAATGTAAAAATCACTGCGCCTGCGCGCCGATGGTTAGATATCCATACTACACCCTTTTTTCGCGCCCTTTTCCATAGTAGTTAATCCTCGGCGCGCATGCGCAGCGAGGGTTACATTGTCCGTCTGTCTGTCTGTCTGTCTGTCCGTCCGTCCGTTACCACGTTCTCTGCCACCACGCGCAACAAACAGGTAAAATAGCGACACCAACGGGTTCAGCGCTACACTGGTTTGATTATAAAAGTGCCGCGTACAGAAGTTATGGCGTGAACAAGCCAATATGCTAATTAGCACTAGCTTACCTCGACCTGATCCGCTTTATCTGTGTACCTCGGAGGCACAAGAAGTCACAGCGAAGGGCGTGTATCGACTCCCGCGTGCTATCTAGTACTGTAGCTAGCCAGTGTCAGATTCTCCGCGAGCTACTAGCGGGAATCACGCATACTAATAAGCCCAGCCCACAATTAGCGGTGCCGCGCATGCGCAGTTCGCCGAGGGTTTGAACTTTAGTGCTTTTCATTTTTAATGAGCAGTGGTCGCCGTCGTCTGGCCGGACGAGATAAACACGGTCAGGGCTGTGGCACAAAATGGCGATCCCGGTGAGAATGTATAAAAGTTGATGCGAAACAGACGTGTAGCTAGTAGCACTGAAGAAAACAGTCCGATACTTTGGCATGCATCTTCTCGCAGCAATCGCCTTCTCTCTGATCGCAGTGGTCTCGTGCCAACTGCCTTGCAATAGTCAATTGCGACTTTTGCCTGCGATTGCACACCGCTTCGCTCACTGCCAGTGCTCCTACAGGCGTCACAACGTATGCAATCGGAATCGCAAACGCATACCAACAAGAGCTTGAATGCATTAGTAACGCAGATCCAGATTCTTCCAATTGTTTAACTTTTTCGATTTTGATGAATTCGAGCAGACCTTCGATGAGCTGGTTGATAGGCTACTGAATTCGACGACAGGATATCCATACGCCTGTATCGGCACAGGGGGTGTTGGCACTGCTGGCTGCAACAAATGAAATGCTAGAGCTAATGCTAACAGACAGCCCATTGTTATAACCTATTTCATGTAAAAAATGAAATATGAAGCAGTTAGCGATTTATCTATACTTGGCGCAATTTATACACGCTGGCCGGGTTTAGTGGCGAGGTTGGACAAAACCTCCGACAATGAGGTCTGTGAGAGACAGACAAATTACTGATTGCAAACCTCGACGGGTAAGGTAATTAAAACCTACAAAGCACTGAGGTGCAAACCCTCTGCCTAGCGTAGATACGCACTACGCATGCGCAAAAGTAAACATTTCACGGACTTCTATTGCCCCACTTTCGTGGGGCTTGGCTCGTGCGTGAGGATCTTCCCGCCACCAAGTGTTGTTAGCAACACTTTCGCTTCCGAGATCGCGTTTTTTTGTGCGGTAGGAAAAACGGCGTGCAGGAGCTAGGCTAACTACACACCTGCGTGTGTATACACGGTGATGGAGATTCGTCAAAAGCAAAGAGAGATATATCATTAGATGCACCCTAGCCTACACTTGTGAATATTTTGTCATAATACTAGTAGGCGAATGCATGGCATTTTTGGCGAGCGGGAGCGAGCACACAATGACTCTATCTGCACGAGCCATCCTACAACTTGAACCTTAGAATCACGAAGATTGGAAGGAGGTATAGACAGCCTCGGTCAGGTATCGAAGAGCGCAGCGAATGCCAGCAAATAGACGAGAGTTCTTTGGCTGGCTATATTAGGGCAGCGTGTAAAAATTTGCGCGTTCCCTATCACGCTGATACAAACGAGCCTCTCTGCTCAGGAGTCTCACGGGCACGATGTTCTCTTTACCTCTCTCCCCAGACATGTATACGCACGACAGCAGGCCAGGCAGCATCAAAAAAATTTGAAATCCTTTCGGATAAAAAGAAGCGCGTAATCCTGGAGCATGCACAGTTGGACGAGTAGATAAATCCGCGCCGTTCGTACCACTAGGTTAGCTCGCTCCCGCTCGCCAATAATAATACCTTAGAACCTCTCATGAATAATTACCTTTGATGTTGAGCGTAGTAATCAAGTGTCTAACACCCGTAGTACTGGGTCTGCCAGGTATCTAAGTACTAAGTCTCTAAGTTGCAAGTTAGCTCACTGTGAAGAATTTAGATCACAGATGTTTCACAAAGGTCAAATTCATAATAATCGAGGAGTGGGAAGGCCCATTTGCTATATACTAGCTTCGAGACTGCCGCCGAGCTCACCATACAAGCATCGCAGCGCTCAGCCCGCGTCGCTTGGACGATTTGTTGTTGGTCGCTAGTCAGGCGTTTCCCGGTAGAGCGTTCGTTCCATGTAGATAGCTGATTTCAACGCGACAAACAACAAATCGTCCAGATAAAGCGACGCGGGCTGAGCGCTCCAGTGGCAGTGTCTTGCTCCGGCGTGGCTTGCAGGATATATCCGTCCGGTTGCTGCGATGCTTGTATGATGAACGCGTCCTGCTCGGCGGCAGTCTCGAAGCTATGAGCAAATGGGCCTTCGCCGTTTCCCAGCCTAAATTCTGGCGGGCAGAGCCAACTGGGTAACGGGTCTTGTACACTATCGAAAAGACTAAGCGAAACTGCGCTCTCCGTGCCGCGGTTCTAAGCCGGTTAGACCACTGAACTCGTCTCCTCGGTTTGACTTTGAAAACCCTCGTGGGGGGGGGGGTGAGAATGACCAATAGTGACCGAGGCGGAGGGTTATTCAAACCTCGTAGTGACTCGTTCCAGTGATCTAACCTATACGTAAACACATGAGGGAAAATGTGCTTGGCTGAGATGGACTGATTTGGTTTGTCTTCATGACAGTGATATGCATGTCTTGGCGTTAGTGATTGAAAAAAAGAGACAAGAGTATATACAAAATAGAAAAATGTGAATTTGGAAAGTGGAAACACGAAATGAAAATTGGAAGGATAGTTGTCGGCACCTGTACAAATACCCAGAGAGTGGATTGATAATTATCATGGAGTACACATTGTGTAATACTGCATGTGGCAACAATGAAGTAGAACGGCAAAGGCACAACAAACAAGTCAACTACACCCAGGGCAACGAGGAAAAAAGCAGGTAGGATTCGAACGCATGCTCTCTAGGTGAGCACTTCTTAGGGGTTCACATCTTCGACACAACACAAGACAATGGCAAACCTTAAATCACTCTGCTATGGCACATGAGTATACTCTCACTCAGTATGTGGAGCATAAAACCACTAAAGATGCCAAACTCCAAACTGTGTATATGCATGTCACAAGAGCGAGTTAGTCAACTGCATGTCTCATAACAGCTACCTTTCCAGGAGAATGGAGCCAAACGCAGAAAGGGACTATGAAATTCTGACCAAACCATCAATCGCTACCATCTGGCCTATGATAACTGGCTGAGAGAACGTTGGCTCTCTTTGTAACAGCATAAGGGAACGGGATGGCCTTTACTCAGAATGAATGCAATTTTGGAAGGTAAATGTCAGCGAGTTCAAGTGGGTTTACGTAAATTTGTGACAGTGCTATCTACAAATTATGCATTATTGTGCGATCAGACAGCTATGTACAAAAGTAGGATGACTTTGCTAATGTAGACCACTAAAGTGCAAATTAAATAGTAAATAATGCCACCTATCATTTCTTTTACATTGAACTTTAGCCTTCATTTGATTTAATAGTTAGACATTCAATTTTCGTTGCGCAGTTCAAATGTGATTGTCTAATTAAAATGTGATTTAGACTTCCAAATAAAATGGACAGAAAAAGAGTATGGTCGAATGGCTTTTTGACAAACATTTATTTGACGTTGACATAGAAAAGGTATCCATCACTATAATTATACAACCACCTCCATCCTTTTAGACACTCAAAGGGCGTGGTCTGGGAATGACACAAATATATATAGTGGAGATCATGTACTTAACATTAGTATCTACAACTGCTCCTACGAAAGAAAACACTGTGTTTACCTCAGTCTCTGTCACGTGGATGTCAGCTCCTGCCTGGACCAGTAGGTCTACTACTTCTGGGTGGCCATTCTGGCTCGCTACATATAAAGGACTTGTTCCATCCTAAAGCGACAAAATTGATACTGAATTCAAGAGAAAACATAGAGTTGGCAGCTACACAATGCATGAGAAACCAAGTTGATTGGACTGTCCCCGCAGTACCTCACTGTAATAAAGAAAAGCACTAAAGTGCAAACCCTCGTAGAACTGCACATGCGCGGTACCGCTAATAATGGGCTGGGCTATTGGCGTTTACCAGCGGTCTCCCGCTAGTAGAGGGCTAGCTATGGTAGTAGCAAGAGTCGATACACGCCCTTCGCGGTGGCTTATTGTACACAGAGCAAGCGGATCAGGTGGAGGTCCGAGACGGGTGGAAATCTCGTACGTTTATGGTCAGAATTCCACTTGGAAATCAGGGCGAAAGGAAAGTTTCCGTGCGCACGCCCATTTTCTGCTCCGTATAGCTCTGTTAACTATAGTAAACTACAAGGCCGACCCTGCTGGCGACGCGCGCACACGCGAGTCACTGCACTCGCTCCGGCCAGCCGGCCGGCCACACCGCGACGCAGTACCGACCGATCAAGTGTGCGCACACATAATACCACGCTCCGGGTTTTGCACAAAACTAAAGCCACCAGGGTAGGGCCTTGCTTGCTCGGCCTTGGCCTAGGCATAGGTTTGCTCAGGTGGAAATGCCTGGATAGCAGCCAAAGAGGCACGAGGAGGGAATAAGAAACTTGTAGAATAAGTAGGAGGGAATAACAAACTCCCTAAAAGAAGTTCCCTTGGGACTCCTGCCTCCTCTAGCCGGCCTACCTTAACTTGAACCTCATGTAATTGAACGAAGGCTTGAGAAGAGTATATCTGAGAACAAGAATGACCACACCACTAACAGTTTTACTTCACAGGAGCAGAAGTGAGATTGGTTCTGTAGCTGGCTATAACTTGTGCAATGCCCGTATGTGCGCTGGCAACAGTATTATGGGCCTCAGTGTCGCATGACTACTGTTCGTGCAAGTAAAGGGAACTACTGTTTTGGGAGTGTACAGTTATAAAACCATCGAGAGACCGAGAAATCAATTTAGAATTCAATAGATATCTAGAAATAACTGGAAATCGTTTGGAAATCGGTAGAAATCACGCAGAAATTTGGAAATCTGAGAAATCACGTGGAAATCGGAAAATCAGTAGAAATCAGTTGGAAATCACAAATCTCGCACGTCATAACAGTCCGTGTCGCACCCCTCGAGGTGAGCTAGCCAGCATACTGCGTTGATCGCGTCTGGTATACGCATGCGCACCGCTTGTTGATGGGTTGGACCACGCAACGTGGTCCGCGACCGTGCCAATTTGTCGCTCTCGAACGCAGTCATTTGAGGAAAATCGCCCTTTTATTTTTCAGGCTCCCGTAGTTCTGACGCCGCTGGTATCGCTAATGGGCCGCCTCGTAGCCTGTAGCGCCAGAATAAGCATCGACACACACACAGACAGACAAACCAAACACACTACCCCTCGCTGCGCATGCGCGCCAAGGGTTAAATATGTGTGCGTGCTAAGACTGAATGATAACTGAGTAACAATGCTTACAAAGGCATACAAAAGGTGAGTCTTTTCATCATGCTTGTGATAGAAAATGTCATCATACCTTACGACAGTTACTCGTATCAGCACCATTCTCTAGCAATATCTCCACCACAGCAGTGTGGCCTTTAGATGATGTCCAGTACAGTGGAGTCCTGCCATTCTGAAAGTAGCCAAATAATACTCAAATTGTAAGTATATACAATATTTGGTTGCCAAAATGCATTTTAGAGGCTGACTAACCACTTGCAAATGGCAACATTACAGATGTGTAATCCAACAATTACGTAAGAAACAGTAGTGTATGTGCGCTCGGAATCAATGTTAACTCTATTTACGGTACAATACAACATGCACAGTGAGTGGCCCTGGGCATGTGCAGCGGACTGACTCAATGCTCGCGTGGGATAGATGAGTTCCTTGGAACTCTCTATGGTTGTGTGAAGTGCTGGTGAAGTGTAGCTTAAGGATTGTGCATGGATTCTTTAAAACCTAGTAGTTCAGGACACTTAGGCATAACCTGCATCACTTAAAGTTCATTAGGCGTGCAAACAAACCTTGTCAGTAGTATTAAGGTCTTCTCCACCCTTGAGCAACAGACAAACAATCTCAATATCACCTTCATGAGAAGCTATGATGAGAGCAGTTTCTCCAGTCTGTCAATCAAGCATAAAAAGGAAATCAAAATCAATAATTTACTAGGAATGCGCACGCGCGTATTTTGCCTCGCGCCTACCAGCCAATGCGTGCGTAAACAGTCTGCAGAGGCCGCTCGTTCGCGCGCTCTACTGACTGTGCGCACGGCGGAAGCTAGACTTCTTACGAAGGACGGAAGTTGACATTCCTAAGCGTGACTCATTGACATTTCTAAGCGTGACTAATTGACATTCCCTAAGCGTGACTAATTGACATTCCCCAAGCGTGACTAATTGACATTCTTAAGCGTGACCGCCACGTACGTACGCATATCGCAACCCGGAGTAGTCGCCTCGCGCTAATGCGCTCAGCAATCACACTATGCATCATCGTCATTAGAGCCTTACAAGTGTAGTTCTGGAATTGATGTCAACAGCCATGGCTGACACCAGTCTCTTACCATCTCTACATCTCTTCTCTCAGCAGCATCATGTAGCTGGATTCTTTCCATTACAGACCTAGGTGAAATTATACATGGCAAAGCTGGGTTATGTGTATGCGTACCGTTTTATACTACTGATTGTTAGATGGTAGTGTATTTTGGCTTCGATCTTTATGGTTTTTGATACTTACCAAGTTGAACGTGTCACTAGTGGAGAATCTTTCATTGGACAGGTTTGGAGTGATTTCACTTCTTTTTGCATTTCCCTATTAATTTTTTTGCTCCATGTAGATGCCCTACACAAGGGACATGCTTTTCCTTCTGCCTGTATTCTCTTTGCAGCTTCCTCTGAGAGATTTTGTCCACAACATGATGTAAGGTGAGGCCGGAGCATTAGACAGTATGTAACTGGACAATAGAAGTCTTGAGGTGGCTCCTTTAGATGCTCTGGAGGCAACGGACTAAAGGAAAAGTTATGAGTATATTAAGAACCTTTTTGGCAAGTTACTCACTCTGTAGGCAAAACTCTACTCTTAGCTGAAGTTCTGGGACCTGAGGTTTCATCCTGTGCAAGATGTTTCATGTCAATTCATGTTACTGAAGGTATATTATATAATTATACACTTGTCAGTAAACGTATGGGGCATTACTCAATCAACACATATTGGAACAAACATAATAGAAACTCCATCCTTCCAACTCACTGACTTTGAAAGCCATAATACTTACTTTATCTGTTGGTATAAGAACTATGACTCATTAACTTTTACAACAATATAATGACCAGTCTCTTCGGGTGATGGATATCTACATTCTTACAAAATTTCATTTCTATATGTTGTTTCGTTTTTGAGTTATTGGTGTTGAATCTGAAGAAGAAGAAGAAGGAGAAGGAGAAGGAGAAGATGAACAAAACTCCCTATCATAGCCCCATACATCTATGATGCTAGGTACCATGCCTATCTAATATTAAAAAGCAATCACATGGAAAGATAAATTAACTATGAGATATTGGGTCTCATCAACAACACCAGCAGAGACACCAGCGGACATATATCATGCTAACATGACAGACAGAAATGTTTGTCAATTGTATATACTATACCAGTGGCCTCAGCTTCCAGTTTTGAAGTAGCTTTTTCTGTACCAGTTCCATCGTGATACTCTGTGATAATTCGTTTTTTTTAAAACACAATATTAGCTATGTATATACCTCTATTATGAAATTGTTTGTACCATCGCTTGGTAATGGGATTGCTGTTGCATCTTCAGATAAAGGGAACAGAAGGGTAGCCCTCTCCAATTTGGAAACTTCAGTGGAGACAGCAGTGGTCTCCATGGAATGGGGACAACAGTGGCCTCTGTAGAATGGGGGACAACAGTGGTCTCCATGGAATGGGGGACGACAGTGGTTTCCGTGGAATGGGTGATGACAGTGGCCTCTGTAGAATGGGGGAAAACAGTGGTCTCCATGGAATGGGGGACGACAGTGGTTTCCGTGGAATGGGTGACGACAGTGGCCTCTGTAGAATGGGGGAAAACAGTGGTCTCCGAGGAATGGGGGATAACAGTGGTCTCCGTGGAATGGGGGACGACAGTGGCCTCCATGGAATGGGGGATGACAGTAGTCTCTATGGAATGGGGGATGACAGTGGTCCTCGTGGAATGGGGGACGACAGTGGTCCTCGTGGAATTGGGGACGACAGTGGCCTCTGTAGAATGGGGGAGAACAGTGGCTTCCGTGGAAAAGGGGATAACAGTGGTCTCCTTGGAATAGGGGATGACAGTAGCCTCTATGGAATGGGTGGTCCTCATGGAATGGAGGACGACAGTGGTCTCTGCAGATTGGGGGGGAATATATATTACATATAGAGATCGGCAGCTGTTGTAATTATGATTCACAGGATTTACTATTACACTCACTGTGTTCAAGGCTGAATGGTTTTTATTGTATTCATTTGCTAATTCCTGTAGGACATCTATATATAGCACATTGTATGATTATATATGCATTGTATGATCACATTACAAGGTAACACACCAGCAGTATCAGAGTAAACATCTGCCCTTGAAACCTGCATCGAGGAAGAGAAAAAATGTCCCACTACGTCATCGATTCGTGCAAGTATGAACCCAGGATATACTTGGTGGAAGAGGGTGTTAGCTACATATTATAGCCTCATTTCCAGGCACTATAACATGCTTTTAAACTCCCTGATTAATCCCGTACATTTGCAAGCTATTACCTACTTACGCTAAATGAGAGGATTCCAGAACGAACCGCCGCAGAGTACATAGCTACAATGCTATGAATGTCAATAGCAGCTATTATGAATAATGACATCATACTATAAATCTGAGGTCAGTCATTCCACTACTCTGCTCGGGGGAGGATACACTGCGGTTACTCACCTAGTTCTTTAGCCAATTCCGACAGACCGATTTGTGTTAGGACATTAATAAAAGTACCCCAGGTCACTGGCTCTCTTCCACCACCTTCGAGCCATCTTGATAGGATGTTGAGAATGATGGTTGTTGCTGATTTTGGATCAGATACTATTATTGACTTTGTTATAGAGCCAGTATCATCATTCAACAAAGTTATTCCCAGCAATAGATAATTGGCTCCAATCCTTTGAACGATGTTGATAAACTTAGGAAAGCAAGTGAACATTGGTAACTTTGGCCTATCAGAGAGGTTGATGAGTGGCACCTCATGTGAAACAGTAGAACCTGTATGAGGATTGGAAACAGAATTTTGTCGCTGTGCGCCGGTACTTATGCACTGAAGTGCAAACCCTCGGCGCACGGTGCTGTGACGCGCACGCGTAAGTAAACGCATGCGCCGTACCGCTAATTGATGGGCTGGGTTTAGTTTTAGCTGTTACTCGTGGTCTCTTGCCAGCTCGCGCAGAGTCTGACGCGGGCTAACTACACTACTAGATAGTATGCGAGAGGCGATACATGCCCTGCGTTGCATCTTCTGGTGTCTCCGAAGTACGCAGAGCACGCGGATCGATCGGACTGTGCCCGTACGTTGTGTATTTGCATATTGGCTTTTTCGCGCTCTAGTTTTGCAACGGAGAAGTTTCAAAGAAAACCGTTCGAAATTTCTGACCTTCATTGCCCGTTAAGTAGGTCGTATCCTTTGTGGGACGAACAAACACCCGAGAAGTGAGATTGAGAGTAACAGACAGACAGACAGACAGACAAACGTAACCCTCGCTGCGCGTGCGCGCCGAGGGTTAATGATCACAGTATACGAATGGAGCTCTCCAGGGGCGGATCCAGGGGAGGGCACGGGGCCGGGAGGCAGTTGCCCCCCACCCTTGTCTGGTGTATATGACGTCATGCTGCCCAGGCCCCGCCCCAGTTACTAGCACGCACACGCGCGCTCGAACTGGAGCGCTCTATATGCTGCCGCGCCAACTGCAAACAACGTTTTCCTGGATCCTTGGCTACATGACGGCGCTTACTTAGCCCAGCGCCTGCTCGCGCAAGGCTGCTCTCTCATCGCTAGCTCTCGCGATCGTGGCTGTCACTTAGCTATGAAACGCTCTATTGGCAATCTCAACGAATGTGGTTCCGGTAAGTACCTAACAACCATCCAGCTTTTTGCTTTATAATCAAGCAACCTATCCCACCAGAAAATCGCCAAATCCCTCTTGTTTGTGCTAACCTGTGATGCATCATGCCCATACATTTTGAATGGACACACAGCATTTTCAAGCAAATTCATTTCTCAAGCAAAGGTTCATCTGCAGGTTGGTAGGCATGGAAGTACATTTCTTCCGGTATGTAGACCCATCAACAGGAAAAACGGGGATGCGCGACAGGATCTTTGCGCATGCGCAACTGTTGCCTCCTCCCAAACTAAATCCTGGATCCGCCCCTGCTCTCAGCTAGCTTGCTTAGCGAACAGATTTGCCACGTACGTGTGACTGGTCATGCACGCCTAGAAAATCCCTGCCGAATGAAGACATACCTGTAGCCATTATTACTCGCGCGATCTCTAGACTATGAAAAAGGAGGATGGGGCGCACTTTCTAACCATGCGCATGCGCAGCTAGGTGACTACGGTCATGTATTCTAGCCCACCATTCCCTTAATCGAAGGTGCAGGATGGGTTAAAAATAGTGGTCAACACAAACTGTGCAGAGCTCGCTTGAAGGTAGCTAGAGCTCTCAACGCACAATTACTGCTGGACGCAAAATCCTGTTAACTTCAAAGTGACAAGTAAAAAAAAAATTACTCAAATTTAAAAAGTGTGGAATATAAGGATTCCACAAAAAGCAAGGAGACAAGATAGAGATGACCTAGTGCATTAGTACAATGGGATGATGGTTACATTTTCAAACTGACATTTCTTGCTCGTGTAAATTTACTCCACACAAGCCCTATATTGTTATTGTCGCCACTCTTATAATTATACTCATGACATGAATTATGATAATGAAGTGTGAAGACTGGCAAATGAATTCTGTAGAGAAAGAAGAATCGCAGTTTAGCGAACATTGAAGTAAATACAGTCACGATTCAAAACTGAGGACCTGTCAGAGAGGGCATTAGCTATATCTCTTTCAGTCACGAATTCGGCTTCTGCGCCCGATCGGCGTTTTCCAGCAACTCTCCCCAACGCATGCGTCATTCTGCCCAAATCGACACACCCCTTTCATCCTGCGCACGCGCGCTGTGGCGGCCTTTCTTTCTGCCCAACGCACAGCCTCTGTGCCTGCCTTTCATCCTGCTGAGACATTTATGACATGTCTCACGCAATCCGGACCTTGTCGCTTTTTTGTTTTTTTTTGGTTTTTTTAAATACTGAAAGGGTAGATGAAAGGAACATCAAAGCTCCAACCGACACATCCAAGTGCCGACCGACCACTTCTGAGGATGCGTGGGTGGTTTTTATGAGATAATGCCGCCATGCCGCCATGCCGCCCGCTTACCGGGTCAGAGTTCATAAATGTGCGAGCTTACTTGACGTTTCTGGAAGTGTGTAAATTTACAACATTTTGTGACCGAAAGGGTTACCTATGACAGTGGCTTACATAGTGAATGAGTTCAAGTGATAAGCAAACGTACAATGACTGAAATTGTAATCACTTCAGTCCATGTAACTGGTGAAACTGCAAAACAGGTGGTCTTGCACTGCCTCCCTCTGCAGACACCACACCCACTGTCTCGGTGACTTGGCATTGATGGCACCTATCCCTCTTCATGTGTAGTACTGAAACTTTCTAAATGAAAAGCACTGAAGTGCAAACCCTCGGCGCACTGTGACGCGCACGCGTAAGTTAACGCATGCGCCGTACCACTAATTGATGGGCTGGGTTTAGTTTTAGCTGTTACTCGTGGTCTCTTGCCAGCTCGCGCAGAGTCTGACGCGGGCTAACTACACTACTAGATAGCATGCGAGAGGCGATACACGTCCTGCGTTGCATCTTCTGGTGCCTCCGAGGTACGCAGAGCACGCGGGTCGAGGTAAGCTGTTGCGTATTTGCATATTGGCTTTTTCGCGCTCTAGCTCTGCAACGGAGCATTTTCAGAGAAAACCCCACATATTTTCTGACCTTCGTCGCCCGTTGGGTAGATGGTATCCTTTGTGAGACGAAAGAACACTCGAGAAGTGAGATGAAGAGTAACAGACAAACAGACAGACAGACAGACAGACAGACAAACCCCAATTAAAGTGCAAACCCTCGGCGAACTGGGCATGCGCGGTACCGCTAATTGATGGGCTGGGCTGCTATTAGTATGTAGTATACTCGTGGTCTCCCGCTATTAGCGTCTGACACGGGCTAGCTACAGTAGTAGATAGCATGTGGGAGTCGATACACGCCCTTCGTTGTGACTTCTCGTGCCTTCAAAATACACAGAGCAAGCGGACCCGAGCCTGTTCCAAATATAAGCGCATGCGCATTTTCCGCAGCGATAAAAATGGCCGACTAGTATTAGCCGTACAATGGCGGAAGCACTCTAGCTCTGCAACGGAGCATTGTCAGACAAAACTGTTCGAAATTTCTGACCTTCATTGCCCTTTAAGTAGGTCGTATCCTTTGTGAGACGAACAAACACCCGAGAAGTGAGATTGAGAGTAACAGACAGACAGACAAACCCAACTACAGTACCCTCGCTGCGCATGCGCGCCGAGGGTAACTGTAACCCTCGCTGCGCATGCGCGCCGAGGGTTAATAACACACTCTAGCACTCCACCACTACTGGTCCACTAGTCTCAATGTACAGATTATCCACATATCTACAACATGGAGATTTCTCCAAAGTGCCCAAAATTTACTCAAAGACATGCACTCCTGCAATGCTGATAATTATGCCAAGGAAGCAGTGTCTATTCCAGTAATGCAAGGCAATGTCACTAGAACTGCAAACTCAGAAAATAATCAAGAAACTCAACACCTCTGCAACACTAACACTTTGCCTCAACGAAATAGGAAAAACACCGGAAGTTGGCCTTTGAAAATATGAAATAATAGAAAAAATGCCCTATGGCAATAAAACCTAGCCAAGAATTGTTGTAGCTCGGCAATAAATATATTCTAGGGCAAAATAATTGCTCTAGGGCAAGAATGCTAGTTACTAGGGCAAAATAATTGCTGTAGGGCTAGAATGCTAGTTTCTGGGGCAGAAAAATAATATTCTGGGGCAAAAAACCTGTTCTAGGACAACAAGGCTAGGCCCTAGGGCAAAACCAATTTTATAGGGCTAAAAAGCTAGGCTCTAGGGCTAAATTCTTGCCATAGGCATCGTCACTAGGGCCAGGACGAGTGGTAGGGACTAGTTCAACGGCTAGAGCTAACACTAGGAGCTAGAGCATCTTTCGTCACACCTTCGGACGTAGAATATAATTATATCGGAGGCTTCCCTTCCCCGTCCAGGTGACATTTCGTCCGTAGATTACTCCACAGCTGTCATTCAGCTTCAACTGGTCACAGAGGTTAACACTTTCAGTCACGAATTCGGCTTCTGCGCCCGATCGGAGCAACTCTCCCCAACGCTTGCGTGATTCTGCCCAAATCGACACACCCCTTTCATCCTGCGCACGCGCGCTGTGGCGGTCTTTCTTTCTGCCCAACGCACAGCCTCTGTGCCTGCCTTTCATCCTGCTGAGACATTTATGACATGTCTCACGCAATCCGGACCTTGTTGCTTTTTGTTTGTTTTTTTTAATACTGAAAGGGTAGATGAAAGGAACATCAAAGCTCCAACCGACACATCCAAGTGCCGACCGACCACTTCTGAGGATGCGTGGGTGGTTTTTATGACGCCATGCCGGGTCAGAGTTCATAAATGTGGGAGCTTTCTTGACGTTTCTGGAAGTGTGTAAATTTACAACATTTAGGGATATACTAGTCTTACATGCATAATAGGAAACGAGTCATAGCTGAATATCATACGATAAAGATAACTCGTGCTTTGCGAAAATATAGGACTTGTGTGGAGTAAAATTTACACAAGCAAGAAATGTCAGTTTGAAGATGTTACCATTATAACATTGTACTAATGCATCACATGCACTGGGTCATCCCTGTCTCGTCTCCTTGCTTTTTATGGCATACACTTTCTTAATTCGAAGAATTTTTTATTTGCTTGTCTCCTTTCCTTTGTTTACTGCATTCACATGCATGGTGTGCAATGGCCATTTTTTAAGGCTGAACACCATAAAAAGCAACATTAGTAGCCGCTATCGCCTCAGACGTTTTGTCGTCATTCACATTACATCAGTGCACCAAGTTTCATTGTGAGAGGACCCATGTTATAGGTACTGACCCCATTTAAAAGTCTTTTTGTTTGAGGCTGTTTGTTGTTGTTTACAACCTTGTAATTTCTGTTTCGATGAACTCTTTATGATGGTGAATCAGTGTACCAAGTTTCATTGTTAGAGGAGCAATTTACAAGTAAATAAAAAATTCTGCGAATTAAAAAGTGTGGAATATAGGGAGCCATAAAAAGCAAGGAGACAAGACAGGGATGACCTAGTGCATGTGATGCAGTAGTACAATGGATGATTTTTACACCATGCATATAAAAGTAACATAATTATACGTATTTATTGCCTCAGACACTTTGTCGTCATCTACATATTTATTTCACCACCAAAGCAGATAAGTGTACAAAGTTTCATTGTTAGAGGACCCACAATAAGCAAACTATAGGCACAAACATCATTATATGGGCTGATGCTGTTTGTCAAACTTGTAATTTCTGTTTCGATGAACTCTCATCATGGTACATCAGTGTAACAATTTATTGTTAGAAGACCCTCAATAAGCAAGTTAATTACAGGCACAAACATCATTTGCAAGTTTTTATTGCCTGAGGTTGTTTGAAAACTTTTAATGTTTACATTATGATACCAATAATGGGTTGCATGTGTGTACAAAGTTTTATCATTCTGGGTATTTCCTTTACCTAGTAAGCACACTTTATTGGTCTATATCATAATGTATGACCTGGGGCTATTTTTTTGGGTTTTTTGTTGTTTACATGTAAACAAACTTGCACGCCGGGTCACGGATTCCAATCTTTGTGCAAAGTTTCATCTCCATATCTTAAGTGGTTTTTGAGATACATGTGTCTAAACTGAACAACAACAACGAGAAGAAGAAATTTGAAAACTGACTTTTTTGAATAAATCAAGTACCGATTATGCGATCTCTTGGAAACGTGCTCTTTGTGACGATACAAATCAATCTAATGCGTCAAAAGTTGGATCTGATAGAAACTGAAAGTGAAACATGAAAATCTCAAATGTATGGGCATAATAAATGGACAGATGAACGGAAAACTATATGTCAAGTTTGGTTCCAACGTAGTCTTAGACATCAATCAAAATGTCGTCACATCATTCACCAGAACATACAACCTTCCAACATACAGAAGAACACTGTTCACCTTTTCCTACACATTCACAGTGTGGATCATACCACTGACACTCTCTGTGGATGTTCAGATAGGGTTAAGGGGGACGATGCAAGTTTCGGGCAATTTGAATGCTGCTCTACAAGCAAGAGCAGAAATTGCACCGACTGCCTATGCTTCAGTTACTGCCAGTGTCTCTGTCTCTCTTCTGGTTAGTATGTAATCTTATACACTCATCTGCATGCACATAGAGTTCCAAGTGAACTCTGATGTTTCCATATATCAGCTTCACCAATAGTTTGATGTGAATCGCTTTAGGAAACACATGTGCATTAATATTCTCCCGCGCTGCACCCACTACATGCATATATAGGTGATGTCAACAGAATATAACAAAAAGAGGGACACAAACTCCACACAACAGCCTCCAAGGTTCATGCACATGCAGTCACATGCATACAGTGTCTAAACAGCCCCTAAGTCACAGTACTAAGTGTGGACTATTGTTTGTTTTCAGATTGGTCGTGCGGGACTTTCCCTGACTGGCTCCACTGAGTACAGCATAGGGAGCAGAAGTATCTGTCAACACTTGCTGGGTGAATCCCAGTGTGGCCGTAACGGTGTACGATGAATGGCCCGGAGTGCAAATCACATTCTCTGCCTTCTACCAGTGGCGAAGTTATTCATGGTGGTCTGGGGTAAGATTCGTACCTAACTTTAAGCAAATGTCTGCATCATCAGTTTATGCCACTTCCTAATAAGCACAAACCAACTACAAATGGAGACTCTTTTCACACTGTAGGTTACAATTGGAATAAAAGTGTGATTGTAGAAGTATTACTACTCATACGTTGGATGACATATGTGACTCGTGTCACGCGAAAAGGGGTACTATCCTATGGAAAAGTAATGTTGAGAAATGCGCTTTTAAATGAGTACCTTTTCTGCTTAAATAGAGCATTCGACAAGCGTTTATAATAGTATTCTGGCGCGCACACCGCGTGATGGCCACTTTCCTTTTCACTGCAAACTGAGGAGGAGTGTTTCAGGCTTGTGAGCATGGATATATACCTCAGGAAATCAAGATACAGAGGGTTTGAGGAAGGTGAATCCTCCAGCGACGAAAAGAAGCAGCTACTGTGCGCCTACGCGGATGAATCGGCACGGGTTTGCTCAACCAGCGGCACGGACGATGTTAGGCAAGTGGATAAGCTAGAAGATCAGCGAGAGTGAACGCTATGGTTAACAGATTCATGTGGATGCAAACTGGGACCAAAAGGTACTGCTTGCTCGCCCAGTTCTCGCGCGAAAAACTGTTACAACGCAACGTGAAGACTGTCTTACACTCGACAAAGACATCACTTTGACAGTAGTATGTGGGCAATTGCAGGCACACGCAGCCGACACTTCCAGCGAAGGTGCATCTAGGCAGAAATATGTGATTTTCTATTTTAAGGGAAGCGTATTTGTCGCATTTTATTATGTCATCCACACACTAAGCCATACCGTAACCTTCGAACAGATACTGTTGTAATGGGAACACTTCCGAGGGAAATGGAAAATCTGCACAGAGCTCCGCACAATCGCATCAGTTTGAGCATTGTGAAGGATTTGTGATATCATTCATTGAGAAGTATGCAGAAGTGCATGCTATGCCTCTCATGGGAGATACCAAATTATAAACTGATGAAGTCTCTCTTATTACCATCTAATGCTCGAAAAGTGAAATTTACCGCAGTATGTGACTGCAAAGGAAGCCGAGTGTGTAAACTCGTGTGTCTTGGGCAAAATTTCATGTTAGTCTGGCGAGACACCTTGCCCATATTGATACCATGAAACCTGCATCTGATCTATGATTCGAGTGCCAGGCAAGCATGATGGTTTAATTCAGTGAGTCTGTCTGGATAGATGTCTGAGTGTGAAGATACGTTCAAAAGAATTAATGTCATGCGCAGAGGCTGCACCTCTATAGAGCAGCTGCTAAGGGCAGCTGGGCTGGCCATCACTACAATGAACAGTGCAGGACAGGCAAAAATGCAGCGTGATTGTTATAGTGAATGTCAGGTTCCACTTATGATTGGGAAGCAACTGCATTATAGGGTTGACTATGCCCTAGAATGTGTAACGTAGCCCTCGTAACCTCTCACAGCAACCAGGCCCAGCTCGTACTTCAAATCAGTCAGAAAATGTGGCATTTTGTTTTTGGTTTGGGTGTCATGCGAGCCTTTATCTTTCCAGGTAAATACTTGATAGATCGACGGAGTAGTGACCGGGGATAAAGCGGCTAATTTGCTACCGTACGTCTGTATCAAATCACTCTGGAGACCTACACGTCTGTCGTGAGAGCATGTGACGGCCTTCTATGCTGACACCACTGTGTCGGCACCATTAGAAAATAAAATCATAGATTTTGAGGGGTTACTAATGTGCATGATTAACTGGCTTGCACAGCACCTAGAGCGATAGCGATTTTGATCAGCGGGTCATACAAAATTTGCTCTCCACTGCACGTCGTTTTTTGGTCTTATAAGTAAAGATATCAGACACACCTTTGTGTTGCTACTTTGGATGAGTTAGTGCAGGTAGTTAAACATTCTATGGTTACCGTGGAA